TATATATATATATAAATATATATATATATATAATATATATATATATATATATATATATATTAAAATTAATAATATATATATATATATATATATATATATGTATATGTATATATATATTATATATATACATATACATATATATATATATATATATATATATATATATATATATATATATAAAAATATATATATATATATATATATATATATACATATATATACATATATATATATATTATACATATATATACATATATATACATATATATATATATATATATATATATATATATATATGATTCAGACCTTCTTAAATTTTGGCAAAAAAGATTTTTGGTTTTCCTCATTTGCCTTTAGCACAATCATTTAATTTTGGTTGAAGACCATTTTTTTTGTTGCAAATATTTGATCAAATAATTTTGCAACAGAAACTTGAATATCTTTTTTTAAAGTGTGAAAAAATGTGTTTTTATTTTTAAAAAAATTGGATATAGCATAATGTTTCTACAATTTTCTTATCTGGAAATTAACGTCTTTACAAATTTAGAACTGATGTCAGTTTCTACAATCTTCAATTTGTCAACTAGGGTTTCCATAACAATTTCGCACTCCAAAATTGTTTTATTTTGTTTTTCTAAGCTAACTACAGCAGCAGCTATGAATTTCAATAAATCAGACAGTGTTTTCAACAAATCCAAATCATTTGTTATTTAACATGTTTAAGCTGTTTAGTTCCTCAAGTGAGATTTTTTTTACAACTTTAAGGATGTAAAATCCTTTTGTCGCTTCAAAAACACTGTTCCATCTAGTGTGATTGTTGAGCAGCAGTTTTTTGTCCTGCAAAGATCTATAAATTTTGTGTGTGTTTCATTTAGAACTTCATATCAAAACAATAAATATTTCAAAAACTTAATTAGTATTTGAAGTTTCTTTAGACTTTTTTTGATATTTTCTTTTAACATTTTTTTCTTTAAATATTTTTTTAAATGTTTTTTTCTTAATAATTAATCTTTTCTCATGAATAATTAAATTCTCTTATTCTCTTTCAGTTTCTCCATCATTTCCTGTTTCTCTTTCAATATCCATTTCAGTTTATTTGCAGCCCATAATTTTGTGACAATCAATTTTAGCCTAAATCAAATAAAATAAAAAACTAAAATGAATTGAATAAGTCTGGCAGATCTGATGTGGAAACTTAATTATGGTACTCAATTTCAGCAATAGTTTTAATTACAATATCCTTTCTAGCTAAGCCAAATTCTTTTAATTTTGCCATTATAAAAATTGTTCAAATGTTTTGGCAGTACATGGAAATGGCAATTTCACCTTTCTTAAGCAATATGTAAAGTCGTGGTGAACATCTTAACGATAGTAAAATTATAATTAAGTTAATTTATATAAAAGGTAAGTGTAATTAAAATAATGTTTAATTACGCTTACCTTTTATATAAATTAACTTAATATTTTCAATTTTTATTTTTATTTGTTTTTAAATTTAAATTGTAATATAAAATTCTCTGTCAACTGTGATGTCGCAGGTTGTCATAGAAAAAAAGATTTCTTAAGAGAACACTTTTGTTTTCAAAACAACAACTTATTTGTATAGCAAAAAATGAACAATTTTAAGTCAATACCATCAATTTTTTATTTTAAACTCATTCAAGAAAAATAAGATTTATCAAAAATGCATCATTTTCATGTTCAGAATAATAACATTATTCCCATGCTAATTTTACCTGACTGTAATAAAAATTTACTACAAAATAACGAAGTTTTTAAAATTTGATTTTTTTTTTGCACCATTCCTTTTACTATACGGTGCATCACTGAACTGATTTATTTAAAGTAATTCAGTATTAAAACTTCATTGTTTGTGGCTTTTTTTATGATTGCCTGATTGCCTAACAAATAAATTACAACAAAATTTAGTTAGTCTAGTCAAAAATAAAATTTTAGATGAAATTCCATTTTAAAATATGCTGATTAAAAAAACAACACTTTTTTGCATTGTGTCACTATGTTTTTTAATTTTTGTCTTGTGTCAATGTTACAACATTAAAATTGCATTCAACTTATAAAATTTTAGTTCAGGATTATTTTAGAGTAATAAAAAAAAAATTTTAAGTTATAAAAAAAATTTATTAGAGAAAATCTCTTTGCATGGTAAGTCACTGAACTATGGAAATAGCCATATATAAATACTAGATTAAAATGCACATACACAAAATCACTAAAAACATTAAACTGATTTCACCATCTGCAAGGACATTAGCATATACATTAACTGTAGATTTGAATTTGTGCAGTAGGTATTTATTTTGGCCCAGACTCAACTCTTGCTCTTAATGTCAATTTAACTGTGTCACAAAGATTAAGTATACAAACATATCTTTTTACTACAAATTATTTAAACACTTTTTTAACTTTTCTGTATTTAACAAAAATGCATTCCTAAAACTGTGTGCATTTTTAGGAGTTAACCTATTTTATACATTTCAGGAAACTAATACAAAAATTACTAGCCAAAGTTAAAAGACTTTCTTTCCCTACCCTAGTAAAGTGGAGCTTTATTTTTTTTTAAGAGTTTCTTGTAGTTACTTCCTAAGTGGAGTTTTCTGTCTCCTAGGTGAGTTTTAAGAGATTTATATTTAAGAGAAATATAAACCTGTCTTGCTCCACTTCATAAAATTGTTTTTAACATATACAGTGTGTTAGCCAGTCTGCATACACCGCAAAATTTCTAATGATTCAAAAGATCAAAAGTAAAATAAAATCTATATCACTTTTTAATGTTATGCTAGATGAGTGGAAAACGTAATTAGTACTATAATGGATGCAAATACTATATATTTGGCGCTGCTTTAAATAATATAATGGACGCTGCTCTAAAGAGCTAGCGGCTTTTGTGCCATCTGCTAAAATTTATTCTTGTGTTACTTGTCATTCAATTAAGTCTCATCCTTTTTCTGAGACTATTCCTAAGTGCTCCAAAAACTCTTATTTGCCTAGTTTTTTTCCTCAAACATCAGTTCTTTAGAATTCGCTTCCTTCATCTTGCTTTTCTGATTCATATAATTTGCAATCAATTTTTTATAAGTTTTTTAAATTTCATTCAAAAATGCAAAAGCTGTACTTACAAAAACAAAATTTATGAATACAAAAACTACTCATTTTTGTAAAAATATACAAATGCAAAATTTACTAGATATTTAAATTCATCACTTAAATTTACTTGCTGCCCTCATGTGGTGAACGAATTAAATGCCCATTAAATTCCTTTATTGCTTATTGGAATTAATTCTAAAATAGCATATTGCGACAAAAGTTCTTTTAACTAACATTTAATTTGACCAAAATTGGCAAGCGAAATTGGCGTTTCTTATCTAAAAGCTATTGAGCTAATGATTTAAGTTTTATAGCTGATGATATTTGAAAGCTTTAAATATAATATTGAATCACTGTATTTAAAATTTACACATAAAAATAATTCAATGATAAAAATTATAATATAAAATTAGATGAACAAAAAAATGAACATTTATGTAAAAAAGGTAAAGCAGGTGTCCGATTTCAAGTCTTTATATAACCACGCAAATATGTTTTGTTTTGATGATTTAATCACTGTTTTTAACAAATGCGCTGAAATAATTGTTTTTAATTACGTTGAAAATAAATAACTTCAACACGCTTATCTTTACTAATGATTTTTTAATAGCAAAATTCTTTTAAATGAAGTAGCTAATGATTTTATCATTGAAAGTATAAATAAATGATTTTATCATTGAAACTATAAGTAAAAATAACAAAAGTATAAACTGAAAAAAAAAAAAAAAAAAATTTATAAGCAACAAATTTAAACAGCGAAGATCTCTTTAATAAACTTCATATTAGAATCACTACAGTTTTTGTTGAGAAAAAAAAAAAAAAAAAAGACAAACTTTTTTGAAAGCCGTTTGAATTAAATAACTTTGATTTTTACTTTTTTATACTTTAAAACAAATTTGAATAATGTAACAAATCACTGCTAATGATTTTTTATAAAAACATTAATGAATAATATATATTTTTTTATATTTATATAAGTATTTATTTTTTATTATAAATTTTTTTAAATAAAAGAAAAATCATTTTAATTTTTTAAATAAACGATTTAATTATTTTTTTTGTGTGCAAAGAATTGTTAAGAATCTTTTTTTTACCTTTTAAATGTGCGTGTTTATTAAACAATCATCAGTTGTAAGTTGTTACTTAATATAAAAAGGGTTTTGCATAATATTATCATATAAAAATGTTAGTAAAGATAAACGATTCAAAGTTATTTGTTCCAAACGTAATTTAGATAATCTTGTTGTTATAGTTTATTATTTATTTTATTTAAGTTTTAATTTTATTTTTGCTATTTTAGTTTTAGTTAAGTAATTTTTATTTTACAAAGATTAATTTGCTTCTTTAACAATAGGTTTTTTTTAAGTTTCTTTATAGTTAATATAAAATTTTAAAACGTATACAAATTTTGTATACATATTAACAGCTGTGGTCAAGTTAACTAAAATTAAATAGTATTTACATATCATATTAAGTTTTGGGAACTATAAGTGTGAGCCATGATTTACCTTTTTTTAAATATCAGAATGAATTAACCTTTGATAATTACCTTGTATCTTTTTTAGTTTTTTATTGGCCACCCTACAACACCTAAATTCCCAACATCGTAAAAATGCTGTATAATATTTATTCCTAACAATCTGATATAATAAAAAAAGCAACTTATAAAATTTGATTCATGGCATTGTATCTTTCAAAATAAAATTAAAATTCTCATTGCAAATATTCAAACATTTAAGTTTTTTTAAATACTCTTCTTTATTATTGAATTATATATGGCAAAAAAAAACAGATTCAAGTAAGTGTAAGCAGGCTAAATTAACATAAATAGAAAAAAAACATAATAAATAATTTTAAACATTTTTGCACTGTTATAAATTAAATAATTTTCATACCATAAGTTTCACTGATAATGACCAAGTTTCTAATGAATCCATTTTGAGAAACATACCATGGGTTAGCAGCATAAACTTTGATATTTGATAGTTCAACTGGATTGTTATTTGTGGTAGAATAAACAATTGTTCCATTGACGCTGATAGAATACTGATAGGTATTACTTTCAATACAAAATTCTTGTTTTACATTAATTTGACTCCAAGTTTTTAAATAAAAGAGCATTGAATAATAAACACTATGGAATGAACCATTTATAGTTGAAGTAACATACAAACTACCATTTGGGGCAAAGTAAACAGCAGGATTGCTATTTTGAGTATCATTGCTGTTATCTGGAAATAAATGAATAACGCTTCTCCAATTATAGTCAAAAGCATTTGGTTTTACTTCAAACAATACAGAGTATTCTTTATTTAATGATTTTAAGGTTGTAACATAAGTATTTCTAGCTAAAGGTACTTCATCTTCCATCAGAAGTGAATCTTGTGTAATCTCAACACTATCTACATAAAACATTATTGAAACTTTAAAGGAAAATAAAGTTTTTTTCTAAAAAAAAAAATTTAAAAGATTGCAATTTATAATGATATTTTAATTTTAAAAAAATGCTTAGAAACCTTGACAACAAACAATATTATTAAGGACTTTCTGTCCATTTCTGCACACACAAGTTGTGAACAAACCATTGTAAAAATTGCATTCCTTAATTGGAGTTGATGCAGTTCCAGATGTATTTCCAGTTTCTACAAATTAAAACAAATGTTTAATAATTCTTTTAAATAAATTTTACAAAAATTTATACATACAAATATATATATATATATATATATATATATATATATATATATATATATATATATATATATATATATATATATATATATTTGTATAGTTTTTCACTTACGGGGACAGATTTTACAAAAAAATAAACACTACACGGGGACATTAGCATTATTGGGGACATTTTAGTGTGAGTTTTTTGTCCCTGTAAGCAATATTTTTTGGTAAAAAAATGTACCCATAAGAAACTTTTATAGAGAATGTAAAGTACATACATTGACTATCAAATAGCCTGACTCGCAAGGGAATGCTGCTACATCGACTGAGAGTTTGGTTAGGCCAGGCATCATGGTCAGACTTAGGGTTAGGGTTACGGCAAGGCTCTAAAACTCAGTTTTATGGTTCTGAGGCCGGCTGGTAGTCAGGTTTACCGAACTCTGTGGTAGCTCTCAGAGAGGCTGATTCAATCAACAGCTGAAAAATATCAGAGTACTAACAATGCCATGTTGCGCATGGATGGTGTCCCTGTTTGTACTTTTGGTGTGCATTGCCAAGGCTACATTGGAGCCCTTTGTTACGGCTTAGGGTTTATTAGTGGAAATGAGGCAATTGCTTGGGCTATAAGACAGTGTACTGAGTACTATCTATGTTTAGAGTCAAGTTCTTTAACAAATTTAAAAATGAATAAAGTAACAAAAACTATAAAATACAAAAAACCACAGTCATCGCCAAGTTCGCTAAACCTATCATTCACCAATATTCGTGGTCTTCGATGTAACTTTTCTTCTGTTAAGTCTTATCTCTTGCAAAGTTCACCAGACCTACTTGCTCTTTGTGAGACTAAATTGAGTTCAGCTGTCTCTTCTTTGTGATCTTAGTGTTGATGGTTACTTCCTTTAATTCGTAAAAACTCCAATAGTCACATGCTTGGCCTAGGCATTTACATTCGTAAGAATTCACCCATTTGTCGGGAAACTAGGTTTTAGTCCACAGACTACTCTTTTGTGCTTTCGTTTAGCACCACTTCACTCTATCACCTTTCTCTTTGTTCTATATCGCTCTCCCTCATCTCAAGACTGCACTCTTCTTGATGTTATTTCTGATTATATTGACCAAGCCCTTATTCTTTATCCGTCAGCCAATATTGTTGTTGTCGGTGACTTTAATGTTCATCACACTGAATGGCTTGGCTCTAGTGTCAGTGACTCTGCAGGCATTAAGGCCCACAACTTTTGTCTTTCTCAATCCCTAACTCAAATAGTCAACTTTCCAACTCGCTTTCCAGACAACTCGAATTATTTACCTTCTCTACTCGACTTATGTCTTGTTTCTGATCCTAGTCAGTGCTCAGTTTGTTCACACTCACCCTTAGGTGCGTCTGATCATGGTTTGGTCTCTCTAAAACTATTATCTCATTCTTCTTTACCATTAGAATCCCCCTATCATCGTACATCTTACAACTACCTTAAAGCTGACTGGGACTCTTTTTGTGACTGTCTTCGTGATGGCCCCTGGGTAGAAATCTTTTGTCTCCCTGTTGACAAATGTGCTTCTTTTATAACTTCATGGATTCAGGCTGGCATGGAATCCTTTATTCCCTCTCGACGATTCCAGGTCAAGCCTCACTCTTCTCCATGGTTTTCCTCACATTGTGCTGCTGCAATTGCCAATCGAAACCATTACTTCCATATCTATCAGCAAAACAATTCTCCAGAAAACAGACTCTTTATTACTGCTAGGAACCATTGTAAAAAGGTTTTGTCTAACACCAAAACCCGCTATTCTCAGATCATGAAATCTCTTATTTCATCACAAAAATTAGGCTCTCGTGACTTCTGGAGAATCTTGTAAGTCTGTAATTCCACCTCTTTTGTATGGTTCAGACTTTGTCACCTCACCTAAAGACAAAGCTGAATTGTTTGCCAAGAACTTTTCATCAATATCATCTCTTGATGCCACTAGTTGCGTTCTACCTGATATAGCCGTCAAACAGGTTGATCCATTGCTCGACATTCGTATCACTCCAGCTTCTGTATCTAAAGTGATTTCCCGCTTAGACTCTTCTACAGCTTGCGACCCGGACAACATACCTGTTATAGTCTTGCAGAAGTGTTCTCCGGAGCTGTCGTCTATCCTTTCAAAACTATTTAATAAGTGCTTATCAGTCTTGTTTTCCAGCCTGCTGGAAAGTAGCATCTGTTATCCCTATTTTTAAAAATTCTGGAGAGCGATCCGATTCGTCTAACTACCGCCCCATTAGTCTTCTTCCTATTATAAGCAAGGTTTTTGAATCTTTAATTAACAAACACTTAATCTCTCATCTCGAATCTCATAACCTACTTTCTGATCATCAATATGGATTTTGATCTTCTCGTTCTATGGCTGATTTGCTATCAGTAATAACCGATAGGTTTTATCGCGCATTAGATAAAGGTGGAGAGGTTAAGGCCATTGCTCTTGACATTTCTAAAGCGTTTGATAAAGTTTGGCATGCTGGTCTTCTCCATAAGTTTTCTTCTTACGGTGTATCTAGAAACATCTTTAAGATCATTGAATCTTTCCTTTCTAATCATAGTATAAAAGTTGTCCTTGATGGACAGCACTCTTCTTCTTATTCTGTAACCTCAGGAGTTCCTCAAGGTTCAATCCTTGGCCTTATACTCTTTAATTTACATTAACGATCTTCCAGATATTCTCACATCTAAGGTGGCATTGTTCGCTGATGATACTACCATTTATTTGATAAGAAGCCAACTCCCTCTGATTGCTTGCAGGGGGCATCTGAGCTTGAAAAGGATCTCACTTCTGCTACAGCATGGGGCTCACAGTTGCTGGTGAACTTTAATTCAGATAAAACTCAATTTTTTTCAGCCAATCGTTATTGCAATAATTTAGACCTTCCTATATTTATGAACAGTAATATACTCAATGAGTCTCCTACCCTTCATCTACTAGGATTAACTCTTATTTCTGATCTTTCTTGGAAACCTTATATCAAATCCGTTGCAAAATTAGCATCTGCTAAAGTTGCTTCTCTTTATCGAGCTCGTCACTTTCTTACTCTGGATCTATTCTCTATCTCTATAAATCTCAAATCCAGCCTTGTGTGGAATACTGTTGCTATATCTGGGGCGGATCTTCTAATGATGCCCTTTCTCTTTGAGACAAGGTGCAAAAACGCATTGTAAACATCGTTGGACCTGCTTTTGCAGCCAACCTTCAATCTCTCTGTCACATCGTCGTAATGTTGCTTCTCTTTCTCTTTTCTACAAATACTATAATGGGCGCTGCTCGAAAGAGCTAGCGTCTCTTGTGCCATCTACTAAAATTCATTCTCGTGTTACTTGTCATTCAATTAAGTCTCATACTTTTTCTGTTACTGTTCCTAAGTGCTCCAAAAACTCTTATTCCTCTAGTTTATTTCCTCAAACATCAGTTCTTTGGAATTCGCTTCCTTTATCTTGCTTTCCTGATTCATATAATTTGAAATCTTTTAAGTCATCTGTCAATTGTCATCTTGCTCTACAGTCTTCATCTTTTCTCTTCCAGTAACTTCCAACACTAATTAGTGGTTGCTTGCAGCCTTGTTGGAAGCGAAGATAATTAAAAAAAAAAAAAAAAATTAAATTAATCGTTTTTGTAAATAGATTAAGTTAAAAATGAAATATAATATAAAATAAATAAATAAAAATAACAAAAATTAATATAAATAATATTTTTATAATAAAATTTATAATAAATATAATAAATAAAAATATAAAAAATAAATAAAAAATAAAAAAAAAAAATAAATAAAAAATAAAAATAAAAAAAATAATAAATTTTAATATGTATAAATAAAAATAGAAATAAAATAAAAGTTAAAAAAATATACAAATATGATAAAAACAGTATAAAAAAATAAAAAACAGAGCAGGAACAAAAAAAAACATGTCCCTGAAAGTTGCAACTAGAATGCTATATATATATATATATATATATATATATATATATATATATATATATATATATATATATATATATATATATATATATATATATATATATATATATATATATATATATATATATATTTATATACAATGTAACACAAGTTTACATTTATGCCAGATGTAGATGAAGAAGGAGTTCAAGGCTGATCAACAGAACTATTCTACCTATCTTAAAAGTCTCTACTTAGATGTTAACTGCCGGGTGCAGTTAACATCTGTCCAAGATGAGTATTTTTATCAAGACATCATTTTTAGCATTTACTCACCTAAGAGCTATAAAGCAAGAGATTTGTTTCTCCTAGCCTTTGCCTAAAAAGGCAAACTTTATAAGACAGCAGGGCATGAGGCAGGTAGTACTGGGTTACATAATAAAAATACCAGGGTGATATTGATGATTCTGAACCTGACCTGACCAGGAGTAGTTGAAAGAAGGTTTTTCCTGTAAGCAGTACTTTAAAACATTGATGAGGATATTTTAGAAATGCATTAGAATAAACATTTTAATAAAATACTAAAGATTAAGGTGAGCGTAGGTATTTATCTAGCATAACAAATATAAATTAAACAAATAATTTCAGTTTTTACCTGATGTTTAGTTACTACAAAAATTTCCTCTGTAAACACTTTTAAAAAATTACTTAAAATAGCTATTTTGTTTCTTGCACAAATCTTGCACCGTACTATTTAAACTAACCATTTTCTTCCGTGTATCCTAAAATTGTTTCTTTACCCCACAAAAGAAAAGTTTTTTTATTCTTAGATTCTCAGATTTATTAACATTGTGTTTGTAGAAAATGCCATTTTAAAGAACTCTTTATACTTAAATCTATTTTTTCTTCTGCATACAACTTTTTGCTCTTTTAAAAACTAATAAGAAAATAAAAGTAAACAAACCCACAAACTAAACAATATCAGAGGTATTGTTAAGAAGTTCCGCTTCCTCTTAATTACTTATTTTAGATCAGAAAATTAAAAAAAAAAAACCTTCAAAATAAATATTATTAGGGGCTATGAAAACATGTTCCACTTCCTCCCTATACATTATTTTTACAATTAAATCCATAAAATCTTAGTTGAAATATTTTGATGCAATTAAAATATGCTGTTCTTAACCTTATTTAGATCAATCGACACCTGAAAAATCCATTGTAACAATGATTATATCGGTTGATAAATTTCCTAATCCTAACCATTACCGCTTTTATTTTTTAAAAATGAATCGGTTTTCTTCTTGATAACAAAAATTATGCCAGTGCTTATTCCAATAAAATTAGAAAAAAAAAAATTTATAATTGAAAAACAAAAATAACAGTTGAAATTTATAAAACTAATTCAAAAATTAAAAACTTTTAAAACAAAAGTTCATATAAAAATAATTGAATTCGATACTTACACCAAACTTAACGTTTGCATTATATATTATCTTTTAGCGTTCGCATTATATATTTTAATTTACACACTTAAAACTTTTCATATATTATATGAAAAGTTTTGAGTGTGTAAATTAAAATATTTAAAATTTTATCGCATTATTATTTTTTTTACTAAAGGCTTACTATTTGTACTAAATATTATTTTTTATTTAAAGATGTTTTTTTCTATTTAAAAGAGTTTGCTTTATATCATAAAAGCATTAAAAAAGATTAAAGGGGTCCCCAACTGCCAAGACAAGTTGTGTTCAAATTAAAGAAAATGTTAAAAAAAAACATTTAGGTTAAATTTTTTTAAATGAAAATAAATAACAACAAAATTAAAATAATCGTTTTAGTCGAAGCCCGCCTTCTCCATTTTTTTTTTGGTTCTCGGGGTCTGTATAATGTTAGCCGCACTCTGCAGACTTGATAATTTATTCCATGCGTGTTAATTCATAACAGTTTCGGTAAATGACGTCATTGCAATATCTTTTTAAGATAGCGTTTTTTGTTGTTGTTTTTTTAAAGATATACCGTAAAAACCCCTAATTCCGGATGTAACCTAATCCCGGATGGTTTTAATAAAAAGTTTCGTAACTCCCTTAATATAATGAATTTATGAATAATTTTTTTTAATTAATAAACGTCTTTACAAGACAAATCAAAAAATATAAAAAAAAAATTATAGAAAAAATGCAATCATGAAAGATTTCAATTTGAAATCTCTCATAACTAAAAAAACAAAAAAAAGGAAAAAAAAACTTTGACTTGCAACAAAAAAATTAAAAAAGTAAAAACACTATTTTGTGCAGAATTTTATGCTGATTATTTTAGCCAAAAAAAAAATTAAATTTCCTTTTGAAATAATTGAAAAAAATAAAAAACAAATTTGCTTCCAGCCAAAAAAAAAAGACACCTAATTCCGGATACAGGTAGTTATTATTTTATGTACCTAGAAAAAATAATAAGCAAATTAGCCAGCAGCAATAAACAAATACACTTTTGAGTCCCGGATACAGTTAATTACAATTGGCTATTTTATTTTTTATCACTTTCATGCACATAATATAATATATTATGTTCATTAAGGTGGTAGTATGGTCAAAAATTTCCAATTTTTTGATTTTTTTTAAATATAACTTCTTAACATTTTCATTCATGCTGAAAACGATTTTTTTGATGTATTCTATATAAAACCGTCTATTTTTTATATAAAAAGTTGTACTATATAATATTGCTCCTTAGCAACGGCATAGTAACAAGGTAAACACCATGTATATCATCTTATTGAACTCCCTGAAGAAAGTATTTTCTTAGAGAAATTACTAAGTGAATTTGGCTTCTTTTTTTGCCGTAAAAACATTAAACCAGCACTTATATAAGCAGTTGACTTGTTGACTTGTTGACTATCATTACATAAACACATGTTATCTATTTCAGTTACTAATGTTAAATATATCTAGAGTATGATTGTTTATTGTTGTTTTATAAACTATTCAGTGTAGATTAAAATAAATTTATTATTTCTAATCAATTAATATGAAAACTGAAGTTTTAAGAAGAAGAAAAACTGGTGCCTTAAGAGTGTTTAAAAAAAGAAAAAGCACTTCAAAAAATCAAGTTTGGCAATTTTTTTCCCAAAATATAAAGATACTTCTGCGAGCCAAGAATTGTCATTAATTGATAGAAATGCTAAAAATTTAGCATTTTACTCAACTTTACAACATCAACCAGCAATGTTATTGCCAATAATGAATCTAAAGTAAACTATTTCAAAGTAAGAAGAAAGGAGTCTAATTTTGTTTTAATTGATCTTAATATAATTGTACAAACTCTTACTTTAGTTGGAACATGCCCTGACTGAGAGCAATTCAATCAATAATAATATAGATTATAAAAATAAAAAAGGTTTAAGTTCTTTGTTGCTATTGAGTTGCATTAAACTTTTATGGTAAACAAAATTGTATACTAGTAAAAAAGTTGCAAGTAAAACTTCTGAAAAGTTTTTTGATATATAATAACATTCAGTAGTTGCAATGTTACAAAATTATTTTGGAATTGTGATTTGTCAATGTTTTGGGAAATCTGTTAATAAACTAATAAAAGCTATTGAAGTTGTATTATTTAACTACTCTGAGCCATTATAATCTGATGTAATACATGCTATGTGTCCTCAAACTAATTACAAATATAATTAATTCATATCTTATTTGTAAATTATAATCGATATAATAGTAAGTAAGAAAAAAATCAGTCTCTATTAATTTTTAAATGCAGAGCTGAGTTATATTTATAACTACTGTATAACAAAATATATAACATACTGATATTTTATCAACTTTATTTTACCGACTGCATTTTTATTATCTTGAGTCTTGAGATATTTATTAAAAGTATCTAAATTAAAAATTATAACTTTTAACTACAATATTTATAGATTATACTATATATTAATTCGTCAAAATGATTCAAATTGCTATTGCTATTAACATAGATTCAAAATTAGAATAACATTTGATATTTATAAATTTATGTTGATTCTATTGTATTTTTTAATACATATTCTTTTACTGATGTTGTTATATTTTTTTATTATTTAAGTTTATTGTCTTGTATTTATTTCTAAATTAAAATGGAAATATGTTTTTTGAATCATGCTATCAAATATACAGATGTATTTTTATTTCCACATACTATGTTAATAATGTTAATTAATTCATATCTTATTTGTATATTATAATCAATATAATTTCAAAGTAAGAAAAAAATTACCTATCCAAATTAAACCTAGAAGGTTTGCAGGAATATATTGAAATGCTTCTATAATAATGTCATCAGTATATAGAACTCCAATTGATAAATGATAAGTTGTTTTAGGAGAAACAGGAGAGAGAACAACTTCAATGTAATAAATTTTTTTTTCACGTAAAAAAACTAGTTTTGATGTTAAATTTTGGACCCTATAAAAAATGTATATATATATATATATATATATATATATATATATATATATATATATATATATATATATATATATATATATATATATATATATATATATACATATATATATATATATATATATATATATATATATATATATATATATATATATATATATATATATATATATATATATATATATATATATAATTAGTAAAAATACTTATCTAATTTTTAGTTGTCTTCAACATCATGTTCGACAATGTCTATTAAGTGTCTTAATAACACACAATTGCAATATTTTTAATAGTATTGCAATTGTAATTAAAGCACATTTTCCTTAAGGTGATAAATGAAATTTCAAATGAAATTAACTGACAGATAGATAAGACATGTGAAGTATATTATTTAGAAAAATTCAAAACTTTCATCTTCAGAAGCAAGATCAATTAGACATGTTTTGCAAGTTATTCTAAAGCGTCTAGCTCATTGACCAGTAAAAAAACCTGCTTTGAATGAAAAACAACGCAAGAAAATCTGTAGTTGATTTCATTTTATATCAAAAGAAAAAAAATTTAATTTTCAAATATATATGAAATTTTAAAAGTAAAGCAGCTCTCTAGCATAACATCTTTCAAAGCAACAATCTTAAACATATTAAAAATAATTAGTAATTTTAAATTTTAACCCAAACCACATATACATCATCAAATCTAGATTACACATAAGAAGGACATCTTTAAATTGATAGATCACTTTAGTAAAAATAAAATTGCTTGTGCAAATTTCTTTTAATATGCACAAAAATTGACATTAAAAACCACTTACAAATAATTACTAAATAAAAACTGTTACAAAGCTATTAAAATGTCATAACAAAAATAAAATAACAAAACTAACGCTTCTAGAAATTTCCATATCAACGTAAAACAATTACACATTTTGTTGTGCATTCAAACTAATGCTGTAAACTGAGAATTTGAATTGTTTTAAACATATGTAAACCATCTTTAGCAAATATAATAGTAACATCTCTACATTTTAAACCAAATAATATTTTTGCATATTTTATATATGCAGCTTTGAGTTTCTTTAACAAAGTCATGTCATACCTTTGTTACAGGGATATGCCATAAAATTGTGTGCAATGAGTATTTAACAGGCTGATTTGACAGATATGCTATATTTACCAATTTACATACTATGTAGCATATATATATATATATATATATATATATATATATATATATATATATATATATATATATATATATATATATATACTGGTTACTAATCACCTTAAATTTATTAACTGTTTTGAATACTTAGATCACATTTATTCCACAGGATCAGGTGACAACGATATCTTGAATCAAATGTGCTTGTTTTATGTCAGAGCGAACGAATTCCAGAAAAAAGTTGCAAATTTGCGAATGTAAAAGATTGTCCTTAAGTAAAAAAACAAACTGTTTAGTAAAATGCAAGACGTGTTTAACACGACTTATATACGCTTTATTACGTATTATTACGTTTTTAAGACGTATTAAACACTTTTTGTGGAAACAAATGTAATTAATAACGTATATAAATAGAGGAAGTGGGGGGCACCTTAATCCAAGAAGTGGGGGGCACATTAATACAAACATTAATCCAAACATATGGAGGCACAACCGTTTTTTAACATTTCTCTTCAAAAAATGTTTTCTAATATGGAAAAAAACATACCACACGTTAGTAAAGCATTTTCCTTCATTTTGCATATGACAAAAAGAGTGACTGTTAAGTTTCTGAGAAGTTGTGAATAACAATGTTCATTTTCATAAAAATATTATATTTACATCATATTTTTCCTGACTTTTTTATTGAGAATTAAGCAATATTTGATTTTAGTGTTAAAGATATATGTTATCAGCATTATTTCATGAAGTGAAAGCCATTTTTGATAATACCATAGTCTAATAATTAAACTATGAAACTGAATTTTTTCTAAAAACTCTCTTCTGAGGCAGAACTCTCTTCTGGGGCAGAACTCAAAATGTAAATACTAAGAATGCCTGCACAGTATGCAAACATGCAACAAAATCAGCAAATAATCTGAGCTGTGAAAATTGTAAAAAAAATGTACCATAAAAGGTGTAGCCCCATCGATTTTTGTGAGGGTGCGGTTGTGCCTCACAATGGGAGCAAAACCGTTTTTTTCACTAAGTGTAATTTTTGTGTAATAACATTTTCAAAACCCGTTCAACTTTTTTCTTAAATGCATCAATTTAAAACTTAATGATGTGGTTATTGAAATAAACTGCTAAAAAAAACACATTTGGTTTTTATTTTTATATAACATTAATCCAAACGTTACGGGGGCGGTTATATTCCCACTTCCCCTACATATTATTTTGTTTTTTAGGCGTGTTCACTAGGTTAATGGTAAATACAACAGTGTCTGCAAAAACTAAAAAAAAAAATTTGCGCATGGCGTACAATATCATTTTAAGCGAAATTGGAGTCACGGCATTAAAATATTTTCAAAACAAGGGACCCAATCATGGTGATTTATTTAAAGCAGTCAAAAAGGCATTTGCCTTTCACAAAGCAACGCTCGATATAAGCTTAAAAGATGAACCAATTTTTGGTGCTGCAAGAACTAAAAGTCAAACAATAATTTGAAATTCTCTGACATCTTTATAGGTAAAAGAGTTATACGTTGACTTAGAGAAGACGTATTTTGTGAGTATTTTTTATGACTATAAATAAAAAAATGAAGTAAAACTACAACCAGTTGTCAATCGGCAGACTTCAAAAAATAAGGACCTATTTTTTATTATTAACTTATTTATTTTTTTTGTGCCGGTAAAAGTTGTAATTGCACCCCCACCCCACTCCCACGTGACACCTACTCGAGCCGGCCCTATTTTCATCAACGCGTGTCCATGTAAAATTGCTAGATTTTGAATCTGATGATAATAAAATATATAAAATATTGACTAATAAGCTAATTATAACATTTCAATGTTATGAGTTTGATAAAAAGTTGCTTTTTGTTCTAACAATTGTAACAAAAATTTTGGTAGAGTACATAGAAGAGGTAAAAATAATGTTTACAAAACGGTTACACAAGAAATTATTTTAATATTGTTGGCATTTAACAACAATTAACAAAGAAACAAACAACAATAACAATATATTTCGTGTTACAGATGTTACAAAAACAGTTTCATTGCAAATAGTGATTCACTAATAAAGCGCAATGCAAATAGTGGTCATTGCAAATAGTGATACACTAATAAAGCGCAATGACCTAAATAAGATAAAAAATAATAATGACACTAATAATAATATGTAATAAGTGAAACCGCATTAAAAAGTAGGTTAAAAAAGGAAGTTAAGTTAAATAATTGGTATGTAATGTAATTAACCCCATGTTTACTTGTCTGTTTTAGTGGGAGAGTTAAGTTGTTATAAATGACTGATCTTAGGTTATGCCCATATGTTGTTCTATTATTAAAGTAGTTGTGAAACATAGTAGGAAGGACACCATGTTGTTGATCCCAGATAAATGAACAATTTAAGAACTGAATTAAACCATAGAAACAAAGAATTTTGGATGTAAGATATAGGATGTCAGTAGGTAAATTTCTCAGACAAAAATGAATAATCCGTACCGCTCTATTTTAAAGTGAAACAACACTAGAGAGACATACGGTTTTAGATTGCCCCCAAACTTGACATGCGAATCGTTAATGTGAACCAAAAATTGAGCGATATATAGATGCAATGTTTCAAAGTTAACGTAATGTTTTTTTTTTGCTAACATGCCGTTGAAACAGCTTAACTTCAGAGCAAGGTCGGATATGTGTGTTTTGAATGAAAGTTTTTTATCTAACACAACACCAAGATAAGTTATGTTACTAGACAAGTACATTTTTTGACTACATTTTTTGTGCACAAAGAGATACTACCAAACATTAGCTAAAATTCGACTCAATTTGGGAAATATTCCTTTTGTATAGAATGACATCATTATAACTTTCCTTTTTTAAAAAAAAGCTAAATAAAGTATATTCTATTTGTCTGTTGAAATATTGCAAAATACAATATACAAACATATATCTATGTATGTATATATATATATATATATATATATATATATAAATATATATATATATATATATATATATATATATATATATGTATATATATATATATATATATATATATATATATATATATATATATATATATATATATATATATATATATATATATATATGTATATATATATATATATATATATATATATATATATATATATATATATATATATATATATATATATATATATATATATATATATATATATATATATATATGTATATATATATTATATATATATATATATATATATATATATATATATATATATATATATATATATATATATATATATATATATATATATATATATATATATATATATATATATATATATATATTAGGTATATGACAAAAAAACTTTTTTCAAAATTTTTATTTTCCTGATGTTGCATTTGATGAACTTTTATCAATAGATCACTGTTTTGAGGTTCATTTTATTGGATCACAAAAAAACCTCCCGCATCTAGCACCTCACCACTTTTAACTTATTCGATTTTTCACTTGATTTTGTTCCCAGTTCTTACTTCCTTATGCTTGACTACGCTTGACTATGCTTGAATATAACTACAAGTTGGAGAGCGTCAAACAGTTTAAAAAGTTAATTAACATAAAATGAAAAAGTTCGATAGTTTTAAATTGTTTTTATGTTATGTAACTCAATTTTGAATAACAAATTTTAACGACTTTTTCAAATTAATGCGCGTTTGTTGTTGTTTGTTGTTAAGTAATTTTTAATGTTTGCGCGATTAAAATATTGAGTAGAAGTATTTAAAAAATTTTTCATTATTTGCAGTATTAATTTGCAAGATCTGCTGTTTAGTGCATCTTTTTGAAAATATGTCCTTTAAAAGTAAAAAATCAAAATCAGCAGTGGAAGCAGCTGGTAAAATATGAACACAAAATTTGAAATCAAGCACGAAGCGCCGTCCTAATATACCACAGGTAAAACAGGAAATGAGCGACAAATTGTATAAAATGCCTTCCAACAGAGATATCGTTGAAAGATTCATGGGACTCTTTAATGAATTAAAGGACGACATGATGGCCAAAAGCACCTGAATGTATATATAAGAAATTATATATACATTCGTTTTAAAACCATCCCTTTAGAATTTTTTTTTCATAACGGACACTCAGATTCTCTGTTAACTTTAACGGTGAGAAGTAAATACGGCAGCTGTTTTCTTTTTTTTTCTCTTTTTAATTTGTATTTAGGTGCCCCAAGAAATCCTTACGGTCTTAACACAGAGCACCGCGGATGAGCATATAATTGGAAGTTCACGCCTCCTTCCTAACCAATGTCGCAAGACTTTCCCAATGGTGAGGTTTGAACCACGGATCCTTTGTTTCAGAGGTAAAAGCGCTACCACGGCGCCATGGCTGCTCATACACGGTTCGCTTCGAATACTCTGCTTTTTCTTCTTTGCCAATTTTAAGTTTGCTCCTTGTATCATTCCACTTTGGCATAGCAGCATTATCTAAGATGTTTCCATTAGTAATCAGATTTATCAATTTGTTTGGCTAGTCTGTCCTTATAAAACTGAATTTTTTTTTAATTTTCTCGGTTAGCAATTGGAGTTTTTGCTTTGTTCAAAAAGGTTAACAACTCTTTTCGTCAAGTATTTAAATGATGACACCGTTTTTCCAGGAAATTTCTGTAAAATTATAGCACATTTAACTGTACTGTTATTTGAAAAATTATACGCAGTATTGTTTGCTTACATTTTCTCACATATAAACCACATGCCGCATCACATCTAGTTCCTTTGGCAGTTGCACCTCAGAGAGTGCTTTTGAATACCCAAATAATATATTATCTGTTTTATATCTCAACATTCTGTTTACTGAAATATAATTAGCGAAGTATTAAAATAGTATTACCATAGTATTAGTAAGCATAGCAACGTATTAGGCTGTACATAGAAACATACATAGTTTGAACAATTTTTTAATATGAAAAACATTATCAGAAATGAAGAAGTGAAATGATTTTATGCTAATGATATTTTAAATAAAGTTTATTTTCAAATTAGTTATATTATAAGGCTAAATTTAAACTGAATTCAAACTGTATAATAACTTAAAATAAAATAAGTAACATTTAAAACGAATCATAAAATATTTAAAAAGAAAAAGTTGAATATTATGCATAAAATCCTTGCTCTACTCGTTATTTTTACACAACCCATATTTGAATAATTTATATTATTACAAACTGTATTATATACTACAGTTTTATTATTATTAAATTATGTTTATTTATAAATAATATTATTAATTTAAACTAAATACCATCACTAACATTTAAAAATATGGTTTTTATTAAAATTCGGTCTAGAGCATGGAATTTAATACGTACCAATTCAAATTTCTTACGTGCTAATTCAACTTTGTTGATTTCAATTATAAGTAATATTAGCAAAATATTTCTGCGAGGGATATTTTCTTAATTTTTTTTATAGGAATAATTCTTGTCCGATTTTGCTCATCTTTGTCTCACTTTTTTAGATTTCTTATAACTAATATAGAAATCAGAGAAAACATTTGTATTTCTATGAATAGTTATTTTCCCTTTACCCTCCACACACACACACACACACACACACACACACACACACACACACACACACACACACACACACACACACACACATACACACACGCACGCGCGCACGCACCCACGCACACGCACGCACACACACACATACATACGAAATTGTTTAACATAGTTTATAATATATATACGTAAAGAATGTTTCTACTTTTTAAACTCAAGTAGTTAAGCAAGGCTAAGTCTTCACAATTAAATGATAAAACTATTCTAGCAGGTAATTTTAAACTTTTTTTTTTATTTTGTTTCATTATATCCTTTATTTTGTTATTCAATGTTTTTACACCTGAAGATGTTGTTGGTTTAGCATTGGAACACCCACAAATAGTCATAAAGACTATACCAAATAGCTTCCGCATTTACCAACATTTTTGCATACCAAGTACTACTCAACTATTGAGTTGACGGTGACCAGATTTTAACTGGTATTAATAAAACCAAAAGATCGATAATTCAGCGTTTCTGAGTAAAACAAAAAATCCAGACATTTAAAACAAATTTTAAAAACCGGTCAACACAATATGGGATTTTGGAGTGACAATCCGAACTATTTATTTAAACAAATTTAATTGAACTATTTATTCAAACAAATTTAATTGCTTAACTAACTTTTGTTTATGTGCTACGACTAATATTGTAAACTAAAAAAAAATACAAAACAAAATAACTTGTAATTAAAAAAAAAGTTATTTGAAATAAAACTTTAAAGGACTGTTTCAGCATAACATCATCGTGTTTTTGGTATTACCAGATACGAAAAAAAAGCATTAACTAAGAAATATTTATATATATTATCATTAATAAATGATATAACTTCAAAACTTATAATATCTATACATTTGAAAAAAACTTACGAGTTATTATTAATAATTATTGTCTTGTTGAGCGGATTACTGTCATTGCTTAAATACAACTGACAGGTAAAGTTGCACGAGCTCGTAAATGTATAGTATCCAGTTAATGGTGCAAGAAACCATCCATAAACTTTATGTCTAAGAAATCCTGTAATGCTCTGCAACGAAGAAAAGTCTTCTATAATTTCATATGAATCAGGAGCTGCATTTAAAAGATTGCTAGATAGCACAGATACACCTACATTGTTAAATGATTCATGAACTAATCCATAAGAAACTAGAAAATAAAAAATTGAAGTTATATAGATTTAAAAATACTCAATAGAATTTTATAAATAAAAAATAATTGAGTTTTATTAATAAAAAATATTTTGAATTTGAAAAGCGATCTGCTTTTCTCATATAAAATATTTTTTTTGATTATGTGAAGGTTCTAGATGTTTATAAACTGAACATATTTAATGTCTTATGTTTTACTCTTATATGGAAAAACAATTTGTCTTTATTTGTTTTTAACGACTTTTTTTCTTTAAAACCAATAAATAAATACACATTAAGTAATAAAAGTTTTTTAAATAAACTTTTTTGTAGAACTAAGTTCAATCAATTTTGTATTGCATATTGTGCACCCCATCTTTGGAATAAAATAGTATTACCAAATTTTGATCCATCTATTACTCTTCCTGTTTTTAAAATTAAGTTAAAAAAACTCATTCTCATATGGACAACATTTTTAAGTTCTACTAAAAATGTATGTAAAATGTTTTTAATAAATCTTCAGCTTATTATATATTAAAATATGTTGTATCTTTGCATAATGTAAATACGTTAAATTTTCTCTCTCTCTCTCTATATATATATATATATATATATATATATATATATATATATATATATATATATATATATATATATATATATATATATATATATATATATATATATATATGTATATATATATATATATATATATATGTCATAAATAACTATTTTTACTTTTTAAGGTTCCGATGATAAGATCCTTATGATCTTTTTTGGAAACCTAGTTTTTACATTGTCAGTACGCTGAATTTTATCATTTAATTAATTGTATTACGACTTTTGTTTATGTGCTACGACTAATATTGTAAACTAAAAAAAAATACAAAACAAAAAAAATTTAAATTTTAACAAAATACTATTTTTTTCCAGGTTATTAATTTGTTTTAAAAACACCTAACCTAAGGGTGTTTCATTTTCGATAATTCATAACGAGGTAAATATTAGGTAAAAAAAAACTTCGTAAAGTTCATAACGAGGTAAAAAAAAAATTCGTAAAATTCATAATGCCCTTGTCTTGCTCCTAAAAATCTTCTTTTTAAATCTGGGATCTTGTACTGTTGCAAATGCATATACGAGTTCTTTCTCGCAGTTTCCATTACGTCAATGCAAAGATTTACATAATGCTTCTTTAAAATTTCCGTAGTCCTTGAAACGATCAATTGACATGTTAATTGCATTTATTGTTGGAAAAATTTCTGACGTGGTCACTATTGATGAACTTGGTGTAAGCATAACATCTTCAAAAACTTTTTTCACAGAAACGAGAGGAACAAAACTGTCCCATTTTTTGATCGACAAATCTATCTTTTGTTGGGATTTGTTGAGATCTGACATTACTATTAAAATTGCATTTTTTGTTTAGTTAAACGGTTCAGTAAGTGAAAGGTGCTGTTCCATCTAGTTTGATAATTTTGAATAATGCTGTGTTTAGGCAGTCCTAAAATATTTTAAGACTTCCTCAAAAGTTTGTATAAATTTATTAAATGCTCAAAATGTTCTACAATTTTTCTACAGGTAGCGGTTAATGAAGAAATGCGCTCAATGTCAAGACAACCATCTTTGACAACCAACTGCAGTGTATGGGCAAGACAAGAAATTTTGAAAATTTCCCTACTTCCATTGCAGCAACAATATTTTTGGCATTATCTTTTACTATTAAATTAAGTTTCTCAAGCAGTCTCCAACACTCAAGCGATTCATTCATAAGTTTAGCAAGATTGGCTGCATCGTGAGACTTGTATGAAAAAGGTACCACGTTTTATATCTTCCAAGAAATATTTTCTGCTTGGTAACGTGTACCTTGGCTCCAAAGACTGAAGTAACCTTTTGAAACTAGATTGGTTTTCAGTGCATTTTGAAAAGCAAATGGACTTACCTAAAGAACCAAAGTTCCTTAGGTCATAAGTTTTTCGAAATGGTAAGGTGAGAGAAACAAGCTAAAAATTTTAATTTTTTATTCTTAACTAAGTATAACTCATCGAAAGATTTCATACAATAATGTCTTAACATTTAAAAGTTATGACCATACAAAATTTGTATATATATATATATATATATATATATATATATATATATATATATATATATATATATATATATATATATATATATATATATATATATATATATATATATATATATATATATATATATATATATATATATATATGTATATAAATAAAAGGTTAGATGAGAAAAAACAACTTTTTTACGGTACTTTTAAGTACCGTAAAAAAGTTGTTTTTTCTCATCTAACCTTTTATTTATTTATTTATTGATCTATTTTGTGATTATTTCACTTTATATTGATCACTCTCAAATCGAAAAAGAGTTGATTATTATCAAATAATCAAAACAACAATATATATATATATATATATATATATATATATATATATATATATATATATATATATATATATATATATATATATATATATATATATATATATATATATATATATATATATATATATATATATATATATATATATATATATATATATATATATATATTTGAAAGATGGCATCCTGTACGAGAGTATGTTATATATTATTTTAAAACATCAAGAAATACAGTTTCTTTCAATACAAATAATTTTATTATAGAAATTTTCGCTGAGTTATGGATACCAGAATCATCAGTTTGTAAAATATTACAATAATTTTAATTCTTATAGTTTATATAAAATTGTTACTATTGACGTCAGCGGTTGAATGGCTTCTTTGGATTTATAAATTTTAAAAATGGCGTCCAAAACATAGTTTTTACATATTGGCGTCCAAAACATAGTTTTGACATATTACAATAATTTTAATAAAATAATTATAAAATTATTTCATAAAAACTATAACAATTAAAATTATTGTAATATTTTACAAGCTGTTTTACATGCTGGTATCCATAACCCAGCGAAAATTTCTATAACAAAATTATCTGTATTGAGAGAAACTGTATTTCTTGATGTTTGAAAATAATATATATATATATATATATATATATATATATATATATATATTTATATTTATATATATATATATATATATATATATACATATATTATATATACATATATATATATATATATATATATATATATATATATATATATATATATATATATACATATATATATATATATATATATATATATATATATATATATATATACTATATATATATATATATATATATATATATATATATATATATATATATATATATATATATATATATATATATATATATATATATATATACAGGGGCGGATCCAGACCATCTAGTAAAAAAGGAGGGGGGAGGGAGCACACTCACTAGGGTACGTCATACTAAAAATTTTTGAAAAAAACACTTGGGGAGTGAATTTATTATGGGTTGGGGTAAGCTAAGCAATATTCAAACAAATTTTTTTTTTTTTTTTTTTTTTTGTGTAAAAATTAACTTGAAAAATTAACAAAATTTTACTAACGTATATTAAAATTTTAATTATCCAATTTTTAACAAGTCCATTTGTAGTTGTAATCTATAAATTATAGAACACAGTTACATTGTACTTGTTATTTGCTTTGCATTAGTAGTGAATTTATTATTTCAATAATAAATATTTGCAATATTTGTTGATTTTACTTGTGATTTTTTATTATATTTGCTTTTGTTTTACAGTTAGACTAGATATTCTTCTACAACTAATTTAACTAAGTATCTTGGAGTAGGAAAAGATTGGTTGGAAACTGAAGTTCCTACACTGAGAGATGTACTAAGGAAAGGTCTACTTATTTAGAAAAGATTGTTTCTTTCTGATGATCTTGATAGGTGAGTTTTTTGAAATGGTATTGATATGCGAATTTCTCATAAACTTTTAGTTGGCACAGGACGTCCAATAACATCTATGGAACATCCATCTGGACACCAGCTGGGCGTTTTAGGACATTTAGAGGACGTCCAAGTATTAGTTAAAGTTCAAGTATTTCAAACAACAATGTTAAAACAGTTTAAATTTTATATTTTTTGTAGAAGATGTCACCTACTTGTAAAAGAAATCTCGGTGGTATTGGCAAACTCGGTATTGAAACAATGGTCTCAATCCAACGCTTTGTGTAAGACCCCTGTTGTCATATCTCAAAAAATGCTGTCAGATAAAATTTTAACTGCCTAGCATAAGTTTAGAGACATTTCTAATCAAAAAGAAACAAAAGAAAAAACTGTCAAATTGTGGGAAGGTAAGCTGGACAATTGTTTGATATAAAAAAATGTAGGTGTAACATTTTAATTTGTACAGATGAAAATTCTCCTTGTAAGGAGGTTAAATTTGCTCTGCAGGAGTACATATTTTATGCATTTGTTCTAAAGCTATCAAGTTGCCGCAACTTGATTTATTATGGCTTAGATCTCGAAGAGGTAAGGTTGGTGAAAAATCAGGCTACCAAATATATCAATTAGACAAGGAAGAAACAGAAAGACAGGTTAAAGTAGTGAAACGTAAAATAACAGATATTGGATCTTTAGAAAAAAAAAAAAAACTTAATTAAAAAACCTCATATTAAAACACAGGTTCAAATTGAAAACATCAAAGACAAAGTTTATGAATCAGTGGGGCATGACTTAAATCAAGAAACCTCACCTGAAAAAATTAAAAATGTAAATGAAGAATCCTCAGAAGTCAGCTCCAATAATATAAATCAAAAAACTTCCCCATTTATTACCACTAAACATAATTACATAAAGATCCCTAATACAGCACTAGCATCTCTTCAATTTGATATATATCCTGCTGCTACATCTGCAATTGTATTTGCTTTCCTTAAAGATTTGATCAAATCAAATTACTTGATTCCAAAAATGGTAAGTTAAGCATGTGATCCTAAAAAAATTTGGAGAGACAAACAAGAGATTATGGCTAAAACTAGAGTTTTGTCAGAAAAACTCATTATTGAAGCTCCTATCAAAGGCATATTTGTAGATGGAAAAAAAGATCCTACTCTAATTTTGATTGAAGATTCAATTACTAAAACGTTTTGTCGAAGAACAGAAAAGCAAGAAAACATAAGTGTTACTTCTGAACCAGATGGAAGCTATTTGACTCATTACACATCTTCAAAGGGTCCAAACCAACTAGCTAAAGAAGCTGCAATCGGTCTTTATAACTGGATGGTTCCTAGAGGAATTGATCAAACTATAGTTGTGATTGGATCAGATTTTACAAATTCAATGACTGGATCTGGTAACAATGGCGGATTATTAACTCACCTGGAGAAACTTATTGGAAGAAAATGTTTTTGGTCAATTTGCATGTTACATACCAATTAGCTACCTTTAAGACACCTTATTGCAAGTCTTGATGGACTTACAAACTCCAATGATGGACTTAAAGGGCCTTTAGGCAACTATTATCAAAAGTAAATCAATTAAAACGACTAGAAAAGTTTGAACCAATTAGACAAATTGAACCTTTGATTAAAATTCCGGAAGAATATGTCAACCGATGCTTCACTAAGCTACAAGTTAGTTTCTTGTGTTGAATCAGGTATTTTGAATCCTTCACTTGTCAACAGAAAATGTGGCAATCTTTGCCATAATAGGTGGCTCACAACTGGTCAGGCAATTCTTTGGCTTTACATTAAAGAACATGGCTTAGAAGGTGATACTTAAAAAAATCTAAAAGTTCTTTCTCAGTTTGTGGCTCAAGTATACTTTTATATGTGGTTTAGAATAAAGGTAAAGCACTCTATAGTCGATTGGCCCCATCATCTAATCAAACTTCTTTATCTATTAAGAAGTCAAACTGTCGAAGTTATGAATCTGCTAGTAAGTCTGTTCAAAATGGGGCATTTCATGCTCATTCTGAGTCTTTTCTTATTTCTCTTCTTGCAAGCTCATCAATTGAAAATAGAGCTTTTGCAATCAAGATGATTATGAAAGTTAGGGGAGATTTAGAGCAAGGTAGTATAAGTGTAAGAAACAGAAAAAAACCTACGCTAAACTTTGATACTATGACTTTCCTTGAACTCATTGACTGGAGTAACGAACAAATTTTGGAGCCAAATTTTACATGTAGTATGACAAAAAAAGATTTACAAAAAGTAATAGATTCTCCTATGGAAGTACCTTACTATTATCTCCACACCCAGTCTTGTGAAAGAGTTGTTAAACAAGTGACTGAAGCAGCAGCTGCTGTTTGTGGTTTTCAGAGACGTGATGGTTTTAATAGAGCAAGAATAGAGCACAGAGATGTTGTTCCAAATCTGAAATCCAAGAAAGATTTAATCAAATTGTTTAGTTGATGTTCAAGCTTGATTAAAAAGAAAATTTTATTTCCCATAAAAACATATTGTTGTTTTATTTAACATTTTGTGCAATTATAATATATTAGGACAATTCCGTGTGCGCCCACATAACATTTTGATGTTTTACATATAACAGTTTCATGAAATTTATCTGCACATTTTAAACTTTAAGTAATACTTTTTTAGAGTTCAACACCCTCACTCATGAAGCCAAATGAACTCAAAAACATGAGAAAATTATTTTGGTGTTTTATTTTCAGAGTTCTTGGTGCCATTTTTTGCAAAACATTCTCATTTAACATAAGCATAAAGATAAACTTAAGTTTAGAAGATGTCATGTAAAACATTAAAAAAAAATTTTATGGATGGAGTAAAATCTAATTTAAAACTCTAATTTTTATCTAATTTGCTTGGTTTTATAGTACTGTAAAAAATACTTTTTCAAATCAATAATGCATATGTATATATATATATATATATATATATATATATATATATATATATATATATATATATATATATATATATTAACTTTTTTTGTCTAATAAAATGTTTTAACAACCATGTGTAATAAAAATTAACTTTCATAATCCATTGTTTTCATTTTTTTGCAGAAAGTAATTATAATGAGGATTGTTTTGACCGTAATGAATTACGTTCGTTTGTCAAGAGATTTCTCAATCGTCAATGAATAAATCAAAAAGTCGACCAAGTTCTCTCTGCTTAAACTAACGAAAAAAATATTTCAATAATAGATTTTGCAACTTCAAAGACTGGACAGTTTTCATATAATAGAGTAGAGAGGGGAAAAGTGGGACAGCCTGAAATTTCTAATTAGGAGTGGTGCCTAGATACTGTTATTTAATGTAAATAATTAAATTAAATCCCCTCTATTTATCAGAAACTGCTTTGTTTCCTTGCGTGCGCTAGAAGCCCAAATTTTGAAAAGTACCTTAAAAAAGTTTATATTGGGGTGAAATGGGACAGAAAAAAGAAATATTTATGCCCCGCTTCTTCCCGTCGCCATTTGATTATTTTGATTGGTAAAAGCTCTTGAACATTTTTATGTCAATTAGGTGATTTTATGATTTTATCAGTTTCTATTTAATAATTTGTGTTGAAATGTTATTTTAAATTTATTTGTTCCACTTCTACTCACACTTGTCCCATTTTACCCCAATGGCATGGTTTCTCTAAAAAGAAAAATTTATATACTTAGTTATAATTGGTCGGAAACCTATGGGGATTGATTCGGTGCCTAAAAAGAAGGTTTATTTGCAAAAACTTGTTTGGTTCAGTTTATACATCAAATTAAAAAAATATTTCAATTACCCTAAAAATAAAAATTGGCGTGTCCCACTTCCCCCCCCCTCTCCTATACCAATAGTGTTTTGATGGATACAAACGACAAAAATGACTAGATTTTAGAGGAAGTAGCAGTTTTTAAACTATAAATTTTTCAGTTTTTTAAATTAAAGCACTTTTATAATTAACAATTTAAAGTTACGAATTATAAAAGTGCGGTAACTAAAGAGATTTAATAGTGGAATTAAATGTTGTTAACTTTTTATTCCACTATTAAAATTGATGAATTTTTCGTTTCAAAAGCACATTAATTAAAAGTTTCATGAAAACTTGAGTTAAAATTTGTTTTTTGGTCTGTCTAGTTAAAAAAATTGAACGATTTGAAATTGAAAAAAAGTTATGCGCATAATTATGCGCACAATTTATCTGCGAATATCTGCGCATACAAATTTTTCCGAACCCTATAATATTGTATGGTACTTAGAACATGTATGATATTATTTTATTTTACAATAATAACGCAATTTGTAAATAAAATATTTATTATATCTTACGCAATTTGTTGACGGGAAATAAAACAGATTTATTTGATTTTGTATGTATATAAGAACAGGCATATATTTGTGTGTATGTGTGCGTACGTGGGTGTGTAATAAAAAGTAGAATAAAATAGAGAATTAAAAAAATAATAATAATGAGAAAAATTAATTAACTTTTTTTCTTTTTCTTTATAAATAGTAAATTGATTTTTAAATCAGTTCTTGCTATAGTTTCTTTTTTCCTTTTTCGTTTTTATCGGCTGAATTTTTTAGTTATATTATATTAACGGTTATATTATATTAACGTTAGTTATATTATATTAACGGGGCTGGATGATAAGACCATGTTTTCTGCCAGCTCCGGTCAAAACTTTAATGTTATATTTTTTATGTTGTAATAATATTTAAGGTTAGCCTAAATACAAGTATAAGTGTATATAAGTCCCCTTACTAAAACTTCTTATAAAATAGTTAGCATTTATATTATTTTAAAATAAGACAAGCAAATTACCAATGCTACTATTGATTACTAATGTCGTCCTTTTTCCTCCGGCTGATGATGCTACTGATGGTACTGCTGTTGCCGGCGTTGCTGATAAAGCCATTTTTATAAAGATAGTATCAGCTAATTGAACTAGAAACTAAAATAATAGTACTTAAATAAAATTATAAAATAAAAAAATTACATTAAAAAAATTACATTAAAAAAATAATAATAAACCATAGTAATATTTTAATATATACGTTTTTTTTATAAAATAAATTTTTTTAAGAGAAAATTGCATTAGAAACCTTAAAATCTTATTAAAACTATTGTTACTTTTATTATGCAACGCAAAATTTTACTTTACAAAACAGAAAAGATCAAAATTTCCCCTCGCAAAATATTAAGTTAAATGAAAAATTAAAATAGCCCATTAAGTTTCATAAAAATCGCATCGGTTTTTTAGCGTTGCGTATTTATTGTTGATTCAGCGTTTTAGTTTAGCGTTGTTGATTTAGCGTTGTTGATTTAGCGTTGATTTGCGTATTTATTGTTGATTTAGCGATTTAGCGTTGCGTAATTTATTGACGACCCTAAGTTACTTTCACAGCTTAGTTGCTTTTCAATGAGAAACTTATTGTATTAATACCCAGCAAACACATAACGTTATTTCAACGTTATTTCAACGTTAGTTCAACGTTAGTTCAACGTTAGTTCAACGTTAAAAAAAAAAATAGTTATATATATATATATTTATAAGAGCAGCATAAAGACCATTTAATCTATATCAAATCTTATGTAAAGCATTTATTGTATTCTTTTTGTTAGGGATTGGTATAACAACATCAGGTAAGTAAAAACATATATTTTCGATTTATCATTGTTGTTTTTAATATTTTGCTCCATTATTAAAATAAAATAAAGATGGCTTGCACAGTAGAACATAACTTGAATTTAAAGTTTTAGTTAAAAAAGCAAAAGATATACTAGTTAATGTAGGCTTTAATAAAAAAGGAGCTAAAGTATACAATAAAGTCATTTTTAAATATATCTACTTTGTCATGTGCATATAATGCTCATCCAAAGAGAGAAGCCAGTCGAGGAAGATTTAAAGAACAATTGTTAATGTTGAGCTGTTCAACTGTAATAGAGTTTAAAATAAAATAAATAAAACACATTTTGGTTATATAATGCATATGTCATTATATAAACATTATGGAAGTAACAAGAATGACATTTTTAATCAACTTTTATTTTCTGGCATCATAGATAACTGTCTTGGGTATGTCAATAGTGTACCATTCATGACAACTTTCTGCTAATAGTTTTTTTTACACATAATATAATCTAAATCATCAAGTTGTTTAGATGACAAATTGTTAAAAAAATTTCTTATTTCTTTTTCTTATCATTTTGTTTATTATTATTATTATAATTATTTATTCACTTATTTCTATTAATTATTTATTATTTTCTTATTTATAGATTTATAAAAAAGTTCGCACTTATAAAAAAAGAAAAACTTATTAAAAGTTGCTAACATCATGCTCAAATTAGAGCTAAGATTTCTTATAAACAGACTTCAAAACAGCAAAAAATTTATAAAAAAGAAGAAGGTAAGTTTAAAAAGCTGTTTATAAACAGCTTTTTTACTAACTTTCTTCTTCTTTTTTTAAATATTTCAATATATCCGTTGAATATCAAATTACATTTATATAGAATAGTCTAGATTGACTTGTCTACTAACTCTAACCTCTCAGTTGAATTCATGTTTGATTTTTCAGATCTTAATTAAGATTTTGTTTATCACATTTTTTGCCAAGATTTCATTATTTTTTGTTAATTTGTGATTTGAGTATTCCATTAATTTATTTGATTTGTGATTTGATTGTACTTTTACTGTTTTTTTTTTTGATTAAACATATTTTGATTTTGCAAGTAAATGGCAAATAAATTAAAAACATAGTTTAACTTAACCTGATCTAAAATAAAACAAACAAAAGAAAATGGATTTTAAATACTTACTATCAATCAATCAATCAATCAATTATATATTCTGGAAAAAAGATCTAACTTCCACGGTCGTTACAAATAGTTATAAAAACTAATATAAAGTAAAAACCTCTTTGATGATATAAAACATATTATAGACACATAGTTATAGTTATAATAAAAATAGCAATAAATTTACAAAACAACAATAATAAAAATAATTAATTGTTTAATAATAAGAATAACAATAATAATATTACCAGTAAGTATAATTAACACCCAATAATAATGAATAAAATAAAAACATTATAATAATAAATACAATACATATATAACGGAATTGTCAAATAAATATTTAATAGAAGGCTGTTCATAAAATACGTCAACAAAAATTATAAAAACCAGTACCTAAAAGAATTAAATCAATTCAATCTTCCATACAACAATCAATTATATATACATAGTTTCAGTTACAAACAGTAACTGAACTAGTTGTTACTAGGTGTTATTGGTATGTATATTATATTTTTTTGCGCTGCTCCCACTGATATATATATATATATATATATATATATATATATATATATATATATATATATATATATATATATAATGTATATATATATATATATATATATATATATATATATATATATATATAAAAATGTATATATATATATATATATATATATATATATATATATATATATATATATATATATATATATATATATATATATATGTATATATATATATATATATATATATATATATATATATATATATATATATATATATATATATATATATATATATATATATATATGTATATATATATGTATATATATATATATATCTATGTATATATTAGGGTGCATCAAACGCCCCATACTTTCAAAAATTAATCTGTCCCTATTCTTAAAACTTTCTATTGGTACTCACAAGACACTTTGTTAAATTTTTTCAAAACTGAATGAGATTTAGGGGGGCCACCTCAAACCTGAGACTTGCGACACTATTCTATACAGCATGGACAATATTCTTGTTCTCAACAAAGCCAAGTTACATTTTTTTTAAAAAAAGAATTCCCTGCTGGTTGTCATTTTTAAAGGCTTCCCTGTCGGTTTTTCGAGAAATTTTAATATGCAATTTTTGACTAAGTAACAAATTACAAAAACTAGTAAAAAAAACTGGTATAATAGATGCAATAACAAATCCAAAATATTTGGGTCTAAATATTTGTCGTTCGACCATGACAGTACATTCAAAATTGGACGAATTTTAGTCAATTTGCTTATTTTGCATTATATCTTATTTTGCATTATATTTAGGTGCCCCAAGAAGTCCTAACGGTCTTGTCACAGAGCACCGCGGAAATGCATTTAACCAGAAAATTCACGCCTCTTTCCTTACCGTGACGCAAAATATGTCCAAAGCTCGTTTCGAACCTGGATCTCCTACTGAAACAAAAAATAAAAAGTTATTCGCCGTTGCGAAGCGGAAATAGGATTTTACTTACTTCAAAAACCGGTTAGTTAATAAGTATAAAAAACAACACTAGATGCGGAACGGTATATTTTTTCCTAATTTTTAAGTTATAACTTTTAAGTAAAGCGTGGTTTAATGTTTTAAAATGGTTGTTATTAATCTCAACAAACATTTGTTTGATGTTTTTCCTCCGAGGCGTATTTTCACAAGTAAAAATGTATTTGCATGTGCTTTATTTTTGCATTCATTTTTTTATCACTTTATGCTGGTTACATAGTGAGTTTTAACATTTTTGAAAGTCTGCCTTTTTATTTAATAATTAATTTATAGGTACGTGCGTAAGTTCATATTTTGAAGTAAAAAAGCGAGCTAAAAACTGTGACTTAACTTTTGTAATTTGACCAAGACAATAGTCAAGCCAAACGATACTGTGCCGCTAATTGTCAACTAAATTTTTTAAAATTTTGCAGTTTATTAGTACAAAGGTCGGTCTAAATTGTGATATATTTTAAGATTACTTTACAAAAAAGAAGGTATAAACTTTTATACCCTAAAACGACACATTTTTTGTGTGAATCACAGTTCTGTAAGTTATAGTAGGGTTAAAATGAAACTTGAAGGTATTATAGGTAACTTATTTATCTAATATTGTTAAAAACTTAATCTGACAATGCACAGACTAATTTTGAGTTTCCCCAAGCACCCTTCGTGTTTCTGTGAAATCATGGTTTTCTAAGTTTGTTACGCAGCGTTCGCATATTTTCATTTCTGTTGATCACGTGATAGTTTTTGAAATACCGATTAGTGGAAAAAGCGTTTTTTTTGTGTGTTATTCATACACATACGTTATACTTTCGTATCAATAAATTTAAATTTTCAAAATTTGGAATACTGCAAAATTTAAAATTTAAAATTTCAAAATTTGGAATACTACAAAATTTTTTGTACTGCTAATTTTTATTTAAAAAATATTTTATTTGGTTTATCCCGCTTTCTTCATTCAATTAAAAAAAAACGCATTCCACCTTTTAACTTATGTATGTCTCTTATATTTGTTGTAATTTAATATAATGTTTTTATTTTTTATGATTTCTTTCATGTTTTCATAATGATTAAAAACATTATGAAACACTTTTGATATGCGTTTTGAAATATCACCACCATTTTCAAAACACACTTATAATTTTGTTTGTGAACTGGAATAAGTTATAAAACTTTTGTATATGTAAAAATTATTGTTTAAAAAAAAAAAAATTTAATAACATTTTTTCCGTAATATTTTTTTAACGGAAAAAATATATACTTTATATTGGTGAAAAATGTGGCTTGGTTTCCCTCCGGCCCTCTAACTATGCCCATATGAACACCGATCTTTTAATACCAAATTAATAAAAAATCTTTGTAATCAAATTTTGTCACTATAATGCTCATAATGCATATAATGCTAAATAAATACAGTTTATGACTTTATTTAATAATAACAACTAATATACAAAAATTCAGAAAAAGTTCCGGATATATAGATTAGGACAAATGACTCATTAATTGCTGTTCCTCCTTATCCCAGTAAGCACCGGAACAACAAACGACGTCTTTTGAAAATTTTAAAAACGTCCAAATCGTTCAAAAGACGTACAAAAGACGTGCAAAACGTGTATAAGACGTTTAAAAGACGTC